GTTGTCGTGGACTCGATATCTGGGTTCCATTGGAAGTTGGGATAAATTGCTTGCCATCGGCATGTTATTCCATTCAAGTTACACGATTCAGAAAGTGACTCAAGCACCGGAATTTCTGTACCTGGTTTTGGATTTACTGCATCAAGAGTTGTCATTATGGCCTGTTCTCGTTTCTGGTTTAGTTTTATTGAGAAACTTAAGCATTTGGCAATGTTTCTTGTTCCTCATTCTTTTTAAGATACATTCCCAAAATTGTATAGAAATTTCCGGTTTTCAACAAAATGAAGTTTCTTGTTTCTTCAAAAAAAAAAAAAATTATTAACAAGAAAGAGTTACCAAATGCAATTATGTTTTTTCTTTATTAAAGAAAAAAAGAAGCAAGAAGWAAMAAACGGGAACAGTTACCAAATGGGCTCTAATTGTATTTTTTTGTTGGGGTATTCTTACGGAATATTTATGGTAAATGATTGGGAAATGCCCCTTAGAATAAATGGCTCTTGAGGTTCATTGAGTGGACGAAAATATTATTGTAGTTATCGTCGGAAATGTCACCATGGTGAGTGCCATGGTATGTCACTCTCCTGGACGCCTAGGGAGTCTTGTCATGGCTCATGGCCATCTAATGTGGCTATCCAAGGCCGATGGAAATGCCATTCTCTCTTGTTACTGTTCTGAATATGCACAATGAAAATCTGGGCCTTTTTGTCTCTTGCCTCCACAAAGAGGAAACTAAGTTTTTTTGCTGATGGAATTGTGTGAGTTTATCTCTCTGCACATCGTGATTTTCTGTATGTGTTCCTTTACAATCTTTGGTACTTCTACTGAGTTTATTAAATTATATTTATGTCCTCTCAATGGGTTTTGAGGGGTTGTATCTTATTATTTTTGGACTGGAGATGGATTGTGGATCTTTTGGTGACGATTTGGTCATATGGGTACAGAGACCTTTACTAATATGTTATATGTGGATTTTGAACTTGCAGCGACAGAAATGGTGAAAGGAAAACAAATGGAAGAAGCCTTAACCATTAAAAATTCGTGAGTACATCCATCACAAACTTGTCATTTCATTATTGTTCAGTGTGCTTTCCTTCCATTGTTCATTAGATGTTTATCTACTAGTTATGCCATTGGTGTCACCTCTTGTATCCCTCCCTTGGTTGCAATACTGAAACAATTATTTTTTTAGCATTGAAATTGGGGCTTAGCATGTTATCTTTGTGATTGACTTCATTTATGAGATCTGGCATAGGCAGTTTGTCTGCTAGTTCTTTCTCCCTACCATTTATATGTACATATTTTCTCCTTGTTCGTTGGGGATGATGGTGATGTGTCCCTTCCTGGGGAAGATGGAGGGAAGTTAATTTCTTAACTTGGTATGAAGGCGTTTTTAGCATGGTTTTAACTATTGTGAAAATCATTGTAATGTTTGGCTAGATGGCCAAAAATGTTCTTGAACATTCTTAGTGGAGCTCTTGATTTGGTATGAACTTATTTTCCTTTTGAAAAGGTACTTATAAGCACTTCAAAAGTCATTTTGGTGTGGGTTCTATCCAATCGTCATCTACAACTAATAGGATATGACCAATAGGTTTAAAGGTAATATGTGTGAAATTATTCATGGAAACATGCACGACCACTGCTGACCATCTTAAAACTTCAGTCTTACATTTAGAGCATATGATAATGTCTCTGTTACTTATTCAAAAAAAAAAAGAAAAAAAAGGAAAAACATTTACAGCATATTGCATCTTAGTCTGTTAGTCTAACACTAACAACTAACAATTTGTGTTTCTTTGTGCACTGAACGATCCTTGTATTTCAGGGAGTCATGATGTCATAAGTTAATTGGTTTAGGATGACGAACCAGAAGCTTGCAATTTTAAATGTCTCCTGAGATTCTTTTCAAATAATAATACAAAAATAAAATTATCAACATGGTTTTAGCTTTTAAGCAGCCACCCCTGTTTCTTCTATCAATGCACCCCTTCTCAATTTGTTTTTTAACGAGAAAACTCGCTCTAATGGAGAAAAATGCATTCGTGAATATTTGGTGGTTTTGTGAATACTGAATTTGATAGATTGCATTATGGTGCTAACAAGCCCTTTAGCTGGAAGTTTCTGGCTTATGAAGTGACTTGGGTGTGTACTCATGCTGCAGGGAAATCGCAAAACATCTCTCCCTTCCGCCTGTAAAGTTGCACTGCAGCATGCTTGCTGAAGATGCTATCAAGGCTGCTGTCAAAGATTACGAAGCGAAGCGCGCTAAGTTGGCAGATGGTGCTGAATCTTCTCCCGTGGAGAAGGCTTCAAGTGCTTAGCTAACTAATGATTGTAAATGATGTAAAAACTGTTATAGCCATAATCGGCCCAAGATCCGAGTTCTCTGTCCAGTTTTTAATATGGGATGTCAAATCATAATGATCATCTTAGTTTTGTTCAAACCCTTCTCTACTCCCCCCTTTCCTGGAAGTGGGAGGGAGTGTTGGACCGTTGGATTACTGGTTATTCAAGCCCACGTTTGAAAGTCCGTTGATGCTGACTCCTTACAGACTGCAATAGGATAATGAATATGGTCTTTCAATTGAGTTAGTAATGTTTCTGTTTATTTGAGTCGAATTGTCGAGTACATTATATTTACATATTGTTCTTTTAGATAATTTTGTGGTAAATTATGGACATATTTGTGCATGTGTACCTATTGGTAGATTTGCTCTGGTACAAGGTCGTGTGATTCATGGTAATTAGCAACTCTTGGTTAGAAGTTTGAGTTTATTTATTTATTTATTTATTTATTATTTTGTACAAATTGGGTTTTTTTCAATCGAAGCTATCTGTGAGTTATTTAGAGTCGTAATTCAACCGATTAAGGCATGTGTTTAGGTCGTGTTCGAACTCCTATTTCCACGTATTGTACTTGTTTGGTATACTGGTTGCATTTATTACTAAGATTATTTGTTCTATGATGTTTGTTAAGCAATAAACGGGTGCTTTATTCTTCATTTACCTCCTCTCTTGATATTTAAGTCTATAGATATAGGATGCTGCTAAGCATGGAGTAGGTCAACTCTTATCAACTAATCGACACTGTAATTCATCTAATTGGAAGTTAGATCATGATTGATGACATGAATTAATTATCATGTCTGAAGGTTAAAAATGAATGAAAATGGTTGTCAGTCTTGAAATTTAGTTATGATACGAATTAATTATTATGTTTAAATGTTAGAAATGAATGAAAATAATTTTTCGTGGAGTTGATTAACTCTATGTTTGTGTTTGTGCTTCGAAAGGACAGGAAAACGATCAAAATATTTCAGTTCTAAAAAGTAATTATTAAATTATTATGGCTTGGGTTTGGGTTTGTTTATAATGAAAATGATAATTTTGAAACTATTTGTAAAATTGTGGTGGGATATCGATAGGAGTGACCCAATGGGGGTGGCTTGATTTCTATTGTCTATGTATGGAATTGACTTTTTAAAATTAGTTCACACTTGGTTCTTTTTTTAAATATTTATTTTACCTTGTGATCGTCCAGAGTAAATTACACAACAATAAAATTACCACATCCTTCTAAATATTTTAAACAAGTATAAATTTTTTTTGTAATTAGATTAAAAAAATACAACATTTTTATGAATATTAATTTTTTTATCTCATTTTTATGAATGTTATTAAAACATAAGGAAAACTAAAAGAAAAAAGACATAATCGTTGAAATTCTGACAGTAAATCCTGCATCTATTACGCGCCTCTTAGTGAGTGCCATATGTCACAATCGCACCTTTTCGAAGCAGCTCGAGCGATTGTGCGGCACTTGCTCTAGCTCAAACGAGCAAGTCAGCCAGGAAAAACTGTAAGTTGC